GCGTAGCTAAATGTTGTATTATGGAGCTTAGTTCATAACATAATGTAAATTTATTACTTACTAATCCTTGCAGCTCAAAGATTTACCAGAGATGGCTGTTGTCACAGTGAGTTTGGATTCGTACTTAGTAAAAAGCAGACAAGGGACCCCCATTTCTCCTGTACTTCCAGTCACTTTCCTCTACGGTATGTACAGAATTCACAAAAGAAATTGCGAAAATATTGTTTTCTCACAAGACAGGATGAATATAGAATGACACATTGCTACAGCATTGAACAATATAGGGAAAGAGAAAATAAAATATTTGGAAAGTATCATATTGCTGATTTTTAATTACTTCAATTACAAACATCTATTGGTTTTTACAGAATCTGATTTACAGAGTGAGTAAAAGAATAGCACGAATACTGTTTTCTTCTATGCCTACTGCAATTTTTGATATGCGGTTTCATTTTCTTGTAATCGGGCTATAGATTCACAGAGGCCAGCTGTCAGGTTGAGCACAACATCAAATATACGAACAAAAGAAAAGAGCATTCTTATAATGATTAAATTCATGAAGCCTGTATTTGAATTCAACTCTTCTCATATATCCATATCCGGAGGATACTTGTTCAGGTGAGCGGCTTTGTGGACTGGTATTTTTTGGGATAATTCAATTACAAAATATAATGTTTTAGCATTTCTTGATATATCCTATATGAATTCATTAGCTTTGACCAAATGAGTAGAACGGCCTATGCTGTTCACGTACGACCAGTTAACAAAGTCGTATCTGTCAGTGTGCCTGAAAATATAACTGCAGATGTTTGTGGAAATAGAAACAAAGCATCTAATACTCTTCAAGTGAGACACTGTAAGTATTAATACATCTCTTTCAGATTTTTAGTTTCGTGTTCCGAATATTATTCTTTTCTTGACGTCGATATCTTAAACAAACTTCTTACAGATTCTGTACCTGTTGTGTCTTTGATGCTTTCATCCATTGCAACTGCTGCTTTTGCTGTGACATCTTTAGTGGCAGGGTTTCTCACGGTTTCAACTGCAAGCCAACTGTCTATCGGATCATTTTCAAGACCAAATTCTTTTTTGACATCCGACCCCACGAGGAATCTTTTTGTAAGTTCCTGTCTCCTTTTAACACTTCTTACTTAGCCCTTGTTTGATTTCCATTTTTATCCAAATACATTTTTGTCTCTTTTCATTTCAACCACATGTTCTTTAATAAAATAATATTATGCGCAGATTTAAAAGTTTTCCTTACTTTTTAACCACACATTCTTCATAAATCTACTATTTCAAAATGCATTCTAATCCAAAACATGGGACTCAAACATGCCCTAATCTAAGAAATCTGTCATTTTGACGTAGGACCTGTTTGTAATAGATTCTGTTTCTACTGCTGCTTCAAAAGCCATGCCAAACAAGCCCTTAGAGGCAGCCAAATTTCATGATCATACTGTATTTTATTCTTCTGACGTAGTGTATTGTTAAGGACCAAGTTCTAGTTTTTGTAGTTGCTTCTCTATGACAAGAATGAGAGGATATAGAATGATACAATACAAGAAACATATCCATAATTAATCATATTCATATTCTTGATTGCGAACCTTATGTTTTCTCATTTGCACAGAGAATTGCTTGCCACATACAGATTTTTGCACTGTCTGGATGGTTGGCAGTACCCTTACCAGTCGAATATTACGAACTTACAAGAGGCTTACAATGGAGTATTCCCTATTTCAACCTCCCGTGGGAAACAGGAAATGCCCGCCCAGTAATGGTGGGATCGACTTCCCCTTGGAGCCCACGTCCATATAGTTCTAAAGTTTACAAATCAATAGGTTTGGAGGGCGTCCAACCAGAAGCCGCAAATGATTCTGATGCAACAGCTTATGGATTGCCTCTCACTCCCATGGAATACAGAACATATTTTGAGGTCAGATATCAATACTTATCCTGGAATCTGCTACTTAGTAAAATTAAAGAATGGGATTTTATTCTTAATGGCAGAGCCAAAATTTCAAGCCTGAAGCTGAGTACATTTTGGATCCACAGTATTCACATGGGTAAGTATTCGCCAAATTTACCTTGTATGTGCATCTACTTCCTAGTACCAAGCCGTAGTTTCAGAAAATAATAAACGGTCTTTTAAAGGTTTAAAAAATGAAAATCTGGTGTAAATGAATTCAATACGGTTAATATGGTGTAATGCCTCAAGTCATCAGTTAAGCTCTTGTTCGAAAGTTAATAAGGGCCTATTTGGCATGGCTTTTGGAAAGCCAAAGGCTGCTTTTGGATATGTTTATATAATTTTGTTGAAGTGCCTTGTGTGATTGGAAGAACTTTTAGAGGAAGCTATACAAAGGTGGCTTCATGAGAAATCTCTTCTGCAGGAAGCAGAAGAAGAAGTTATACCAAACAGGCCTAACATCTTTTGATATGCATCACTACAAATTCGTGAAAAAGAAATAGTAATGGCCGGAAAACGAGTACATCTTACGTTTTATATTCCACAACTTTTATCAGATTTTTCTTCACTCAATTTATTGATTTGTTCTTGTAGGTGGAGGGATTTTAGTAGAAGCATGTTCTGGTTAGCAGTAATTTGCGGCAGCTTGATACTATTGCATGCTTTAGTTCTTTTTATTCTTAAATTCCGAAATAGAAGCGTGAGAAAATCGAGTTATGGAGCATTGATATTTCCAAGATTTGAAATCTTTCTTCTGATACTTGCATTGCCTTGCTTATGTGAAGCCTCAACAGCTTTAGTTAAAGGTACTCCAAAACTATGATTTCTACTTCATTCCTCATTTTTGTGCATCAGGTCTTGACATAGAAAATTTAACTGGTCGATTTAATAGTTTCTGCCAAGATCTGTTTATGTTCTGATTCCAATATGCTGCATTATGTGGAGCCTAGTTATAGTGTTCACTTTACCCCCCTCTACAGTGGGTTGATCTAGGGGTATATTGAACATTCATCTATCTATATTAGGTCATCTAGCATTCTACACTATACAAAGGAACCCGAGGGAGCCATTTTTCTGTATGTGAGAGGCAAAAAGCTGAGAGAAGTGAGATCTTGGTCATAAACTTTAGTGAAAATCTGAAGCAGCCTTACAGAGGGTGAACCAATGTAAATCTGTGTATTCTATATTTGTTTTATAATTTCTCTTCTGTTTACCATTGGTCTCGGAGTTATAAAAGATAACGATTACTTTTGTTGATCTTATGTTTTAAGGAGGAACGTCTTCTGGAATAATTGTTGGTGTTCTGCTGTTGGGTTTGGCATCGTTTTTGCTGCTAGTGTTGTTCTTATTCCTTACCATCGGAATTACATTTGGGAAGCTACTTCAATACAAAGAGGTACACAAGGAAGGCCAAGAATTTCACTGGTATGGAGAGCTCATTCGGGCGACCTTAGGTCCGGGTAAAAGAGGCCAATGGACATGGAAGAACCAGTCGAGTTCCAAGTATTTAAACATATTCGGTCCTCTATTCGAGGATCTGAGGGGTCCCCCGAAGTACATGCTTTCTCAGATCACTATAGGCAATCTAAAAAAACCGAGCAATAGAATCATTGCCTCGGATGATGAAACAGAAGACGCAGAAGCGCCCTTCATTCAAAAGGTGTTTGGAATTCTTAGAATATACTACACACTGCTCGAAGTTGTGAAACGTGTTGCTCTGGGAGTTATGGCTGGTGCCTATTCAAAGAAGTGGTCGTATAGAACCCCAACTATCACCCTACTTTGCATAACATCGTTTCAACTCTTCTTCATGGTTCTTAAGAAGCCTTTCATAAAGAAAAAGGTCCAATTGGTTGAGATAATCTCAGTTGCCAGTGAAGTTGCTCTTTTCACTTTCTGTATAGTTCTCTTGGAGAAAGATTTTTCAATTGAAGACGAGAGGCAAATCGGGATCTCACTGGTTTCGATCTTCATGTTCTCATTTCTAGTCGAAATGGTGAATGAATGGTATGCATTATACAGACAGACAAAGCTACTGGATTCTACAAACAGCTCTTTCTTGCATGGTTTGAGAATAGCTTCACTTGGCTTCCTCTCATTATTCTGTCCTCAAAATTTTATCAAGAACAGCAGATTAGAGCTAAATAACCCGCGTGAAACAGTAGATACTACTTCTTCGACGGACAGGAATTTGAACACAGGTAGTGGAAGCTCGGGTGATAAGCCATGGGTAAGGCATATAAGAGAACTAGCAAAGGCTAGCTTTAGCAAAGAAGGAAGCAAGGATAATCCGAATGATCCTTCCACGAGCAAGAACAAATGGAGTGGATTTTGGAAAAAGAGTGGAAGCTCGTCTGCATCTACATCAGCAGATTTTAAGGCAAAACCAAAGGGATTGTACAGTGAGTTGGAAGCCATTTTTTCATCCAAGTAAGAAACCTCGTACAATGATAGGGAAATTCTCAGTCATTTGATCGCTCAACTATCTTGTTAGAAATCACAGAGTAATGAGATCAGTATCCATTTGTGCAGCTAACAGAAGCACACTGCATTGTATATATGATGCCATGTTTGTACAGAGGACAGACTCTGATGTAATCACATTTTGATTTTGTATCTATATTAAGCATACTAGCATAGGCTACTCTGATTCTGAAATGTCATAGTTGCTGAAATCACTGTTATTAGGGTCGGCTGCATAAATCCTATTGAGCAAGAACGAGACAACATACACGTGTCTGAACTCTTAGGTACACATGGACGTACTATGCACATATGTTTTATAACAAGGGCACACGACACTCGATTTGATCCTTGGCATATGTGCCATTTCGCGTTACTCTTTCTAAACGAGGGCTCCAGTTTCCAGCCAAATAATGTGTGTTCATTGTAGAATGAACGCCAACTGAAAACGGCCAGGATGAGTACCTATCCCTTGCGGGAATCATACATTAGTCTTCAACATGAAAAGACGATGTCCTAACCATATGTATGATAAGTTTAAGTCTCAATTTGTATAAATAAGAAATAAACACAAATTAACATAGCTGAAGGCCTTTAATTGAACTTTCCAGAGTGATTTACATACATTAAGTTCCTACAAAATGAGACCGATTTACATATAGCACACAAGTTTTTACAAAATCTGAGGAAGTCTCTCTTTGTCTGATATAGACTTTTTTCACTGGATCATCTGCTTTATGCACCACAAAATGCAAAAAGGAGATCGAGAACAATATGTCATCCGCCTAGTGAATCAAGTGTGCTGTTTGTCCAGTTGTGCACCCTGAATGATGATTTTGCACGACTCAACCATTAAAAAGTTGTTTGCTCTTGACATTTATGTGGAGATTGCAGTACCGTTAAGTGCTTCTTCTCTGACCTTCTGAAAGAGACAACAGTAAACATTACCTTCAGTTAACATTTGGCTATGCTTTTCCACATAAATAAAAGTGTAAGTTACTTATAAGTAGTTTTTTGGTTTCCAAAACCATAAAAGAAGCTCTTACTAAGATCACTCTTACATTTGAGATATCTTTCCACAAATTCAAGGTCCTGAGAGCTTTGCCCGATAGATGTGTTTCACGGGCTAGATCCACTCCTTCTCCCAGATTGTTTACATGTCCACTAACTAAGAGGGCTGCTGCTGCATTTAACACCTGTGGAGTGTATTTAGGAAGAGCAATTATAGAATCAGGAATGGACTAAAAGGAAAGTTTCATATTGAAATCCAGATCTATTATTTAAAAATATCGAGGTAACCAGCGCAGTTCCTTAAAAGAAAATGTTTTGATGCCTCCAATACATCAACCATACCTTACAACCAATCAAATAGACCAGATTACGGTAGACCAAAACTAACATGGCCTGTTGTAATTGTTAAGGATCTAGTTGATTTAAGGTTTTCCAATGAATCCAACATTGAACCAAAGAGTGAATAAAAATGATTCATGTAGCCAACTTGACATTTATGGGGAACAAGGCTAAGTTTGATATTGCAGAAAGGAAAAGAAAAAAATATTACCAAGGCATCAGCAATCGACCCTTTTTCTCCTGATAATACACGCTTTAGTACGTCAGCATTGTACTCGGGGCCTCCACCTTGCAAATCATCCAGAGTGCATCGTGGCATCCCAAAGTCCACTAACAAAACACCAGATTACGTCAGCTTAAAATTCAGCTTTAACTTTCAATGCCTAAAAAGATGATAAGAACATTACAATTGATAATTCAGTATTTCCTAATACCTAAACAAACAATTGATAATTATTTGTATGACAATGAAAATGAAGACTCGAGCACATAAAAATTAATAAAACAAAATCATGTTTTCGTCAGATTAGTAGGAAGATACTTACATGGATCAAACGAGAAACTTTCTATCTTGCCCGGGGTGACATCAAGGACTAGTCCAGGCCCTGTTTACATTCATCAAGGATATTCGAGTACCAAAGATAGTATTGGATAGATCAAATGACATGCAGTCATTTACATTGATGCATGCTTGTAATTTGCTACAGCAGAATGGGTATCTTACCAAGGGGACTCATCTCATCCAGTCCCTCCGAGTGAACTACTAATGATCTTTTCATGCCAAACCTTTGGAGTGCTTTAGCCATTTTATGAACCTAACACCGTGGACAGAAAAATTTACTTGTACAAACACAAGGAAATAAACTATTGCCGCTATTGTGCTAATTAAATGTATCAGAGCACTATCCATTATTAAGCAGAAAGAAAGAAGAGAATCTGGATATCGATACGTGACAAATGCAAGCAAAAACTTGCATGAATTTGTTAAAGAATATGCTTTTTGAAAGAGATAAAGTGAAAAAAATATAGAAAACAAGAGCATCAAGACTAATTTTTCAACTCCTCAAGTTTTACATAATGAATGGTTGACAACTTTAGAAGGTCAAATTAATAGGATGGGCAAAAAAATGCAGTACTAAGCTTAAAAATGCTCAAAGATGTCCTGAAAGTAATAAGAAAATAGGTTTTATCAACATATTCAAGTCACATGATAAAATTCTATAATCATACAACTAAAAGAAAATTTTACTCACTAGATCTTCTTTGTACACCCCAACTACAGCAAAAGGAACTCGTGCGGGATTCAACATGGGGCCCAAGATGTTGAATACAGTCTTTACTTTAAGCTTTTTCCTGACTGGTCTAACAATCTGCATTGCTGGATGATAAATTGGAGACATCATGAAGCCAATCCCTGCTTCACGCACACACCTTTTTACCCCCTAAAAACAAAAACAAGAGGCACGATAGAATAGATGGAATGAGGTGCGTGTTTGGGGGGGGGGGGGGGGGGGGGAAGACTTGGAAATTACTACATCAGGCTTAGCTTGTTTAGCTTCCTTGAATTTTACAGTGTAAAATGATATAGTTCGCTAATACAATCATATAACTTAGATCATACTCATATAAACATGCTATTATGGTCCTCCAACCTCCACTGAAAACAAAATTTGACATGAAAGAAACCTAAAGATGATTATTGATGTACTCCTTACAAGGATGACCTGTTTTTGACAGGAAAAAATATAAATCTGTTCTGAAAGTTAACCAACCTGTTTATTCAATTACCATTATGTACTAACACCAAGACAAACTGCATTCCTAATAGTGCTTCTTTCCAGACGTTTCAAATTTTCCCATAGCATATATGAGGAGAACAAGTTAAATCGGATTGAGATTAGATTATTAAAATTTCCCACAGTATCCCGATGATTTGACCAGATAGTGCAGGGGACCAGAGAGCATAAGCAGTGTCAACACACAACCGTGAAAGTTATGATACTATAACCGCACTAACAAACCTCCGGGTCCAAGTTTATAGCAACCTCCAATTCTTCAAGCACGTCAGCACTACCACAGGCAGATGAACTCGACCTATTACCTTGCTGTAATGAAACAACTTGACTTTAATGTTGTTTTCACCACATTATCTTAAATAGTTAAAAACATATGAAGGAAAATCTAGAAATTAACCACTTTCCTGGAAGAAAAATGATTACCTTAGCCACTTTTGCACCACAAGCTGCAGCAAGAATTGAAGCTCCAGTAGAAATGTTCACCGTGTTTGCACCATCACCACCAGTCCCAACAATGTCAACGGCATCACTTAGTCCTTCCACTTTTCTACAGTACTTAAACATTGCTCTTGCAAATCCAACAACCTATTTAACAGTTATTTATTAGGAGTTATATCATTGTGTTGCACCATGGGATATTTCCACGTATTTGAACCATAATACATATTCTCTTATCAGCATCGGTACAGTACCAATCAGATACACTCGAGCCCATGCGATAGAAGACAATATATGATATCTATTAAGAATATTGTCCTGGATGACATTATATCCATAATAAGGTGATGCCCAGCAACTAAAAGATGGGAATCAGTTCAACCAAATTCCCCACAGGTCTACAACAAATATATATGCCACATCACAGTGCATTATTACCTACCAGTTTCAAAATGATCATCGTTAACTTTCCTATCAGATTGACAAATCATGTTTTACATGGACACATTTAACTTCTAAAATCCAAGCACATTTCAACGTAGCACTTTTCGATAAATTCATATCTACCTCTAAGTATTATAAAACTAAATATAAATAATAATAGCATTTCCTCTCAAACAACTTCAACTTTTAGATTGAGGTAGTTCAATATGATATCAAAGCATGCAAAGGCATAGTTCTAGTGTCACATCCGCTCTTTATGAAAATTGTGGACATACCAGAGCCATAGATGAATATTGAGCGTGGGGTGTCAAAGACTGAATTAAATTAATATCAAGCCACTCTCTAAAAGCTTAAACATTTTGAAAAGACTCTAGCTGAACTTAATTTAAGAAACTCGACCATCCAAATCAAAGTTCATATGCAAGGCTGAGCCATTGCTCTTTGAATGCTAAGTTTCTCAGAAGTATCTAAAAAGATCACAACTTGCAGAACTATTGACATTCCAACGCATAACAAATACCAGATTCAGAGACATTTGCTTATGTATGCGCACAAAGAGAAGCACTTACTTCTTCATACGTTTCTCCTTTAGCTCTCAAAAGCACCAGAAATGCACTAATCAATGCCTCATCAGCACCATCCAACAAGAAATCAAGAGACGCCTCGGCTTCAGCTTCCGATAAACCCACACCGTTTATCAAACCCTCGAAAAACTACACCACATGCTTAAAAATAACTAACTAAACAATAAAAAAACAGAAGAGACCAAGAAAATAACAATTATCCATTTCATAATCTCCAACAAGACAAGGAGTTGAAAAGTAGAAAGAGAAGTTTATCTTTTACCTGAGCAAAAGAAGATACGGCTCCAGGTGCATGGTTAGAATTTGGCAAAGCAAATGGCGCGAAAGTTGGGCACTTAAGATTGAATGTAGTGTGAAAAAATGAATTTCTCAGCTTGTGTTGTGATATGGGGTGGCAAGCAATTGATAAACACGGATTCAGAGGAGCCAAAACGTAAAGATGATGAAAAACAGCCATATTGCAGTGTGCCCAGAAGCGAAAAATACTAGATAAAATTCAATAGCTAATGTATTTTCGGCTAATCCAGTTAAAATGTGGGGAATTGTCTGCATTGATTACTGAAGTGGGCTACTACTTGGGCTAATTGTAAATGCTGTGTAAATTGGAATGCAGAAGTGGTAGTTAGCATTGATTAGGGTTTCAGAATTTTTGCAGCCCAGTCGGACATTGTTCTGACAACGCGATGCTAATGAAGATTGAATTTGTGAAATGCCAACATCAACAAAAGATTGCAAAACACAGTTGCACAATGATTATGACATATTTGACATGTAGATAAAAATTCCCAAATCGACAATCAAATTTGCATTCAAGTTTAACCCTAATTCTATTTTACCTTACACAGTAAAAAATTGTGGAATCGTGTTGAAATTGTATGTTAACTTTAATGATGGGTTTGGTAAAAAAAAATAACTTTAAGGACCAAAGTGAAAAAATTTCATAGATTAAAAACTACTTGAATTAGCTTGTGAGTTGTTTTCAACTAAGATTATAATGAATTTTAAAGGATTATTCTAATGAACTTTGTGGATTTGAATAGATTATTACAACTTCCACAAGAATCTTATCAAATATAGTAAAATTTCAAAAGATTTGCTTATAAGTATTTTTAAGGTTGAAATCCATCCAAATCTTTTAAAATCTTTCTACTAATAATTTTTTTATAAATCCATTAATTATTGAGGTTACCTAAATGTTAAAGGATTTTATTAAAATTTCAAGTGGAGACATCTTAATTTTAATATATTTCATTAAAATTCAATAAAATCTTGATTGAAGACATCTAAATTTAGAATGACTTCTAAAATTTATCACAGTCTCAATTGAGTACATCCCTCTTAATTTCTTAACCGTCGTTCTTAGGATGGTGTATTCAATAACTATTGAATTTATTAATGGTTATTATTACCATACATTATTTCAATAAATTTTACTTACGATTTTACTATATGTAAATAATAAATTTACATAATAATTTACATGCATTTGATATGGTGAGATATAATTTGATCATAATTTCTTTAAAAAAATAATAATAAATAAAATAAATATCTTCACTCTTTCCTTGACATATCATCTATGTGTAACCCACTTTGATACTGTTTATGTATAAATAACATTCATTTGTAACACCCATTAAACTCCTATATACCAGGATTATTATTATTATTAAGCTCTTGTTTGAACCACATTATTTTCAAAAAAAATATATTTTTCAACAACGATTTAATATAATTTCAACCATACATTTTTCAATAAAATAATATTACACACAAATCTAAAAATTTTCCTTATTTTTAACCACACATTTCTCATTGATTTGACATCAATAATGCATTTTTCCCTATAATGTGGCTCAAACAAACCCTAAATACACACTTGAATTCTTACTATATTACTTTTCTTTGTAACTTATTTTCCTCTTAGTTTTATGATACATCAGTTGAGTAATTAAAAAAAAATATTTTTTTCTTTATTTCAAAGCAAGCAACAAAGCTCTTAAAAATTGAACTAACAAAGAAATCTTCTTTCCCCTTTAAAAGAAAACGTTAGTATTCTCTTCTTTGAATTGTATAAGAGCAAGGGATATATTTTATTCTTTGGGATTTTTACTTTTTTTTCCTCATGAGGGAGTTAGAATTAATTCCCGTTTATCAACTTCTATCAATGTGGAGAGGAAAAGAACATTTTTACTCATCGGATTTGATTATATCCTTGTAAGTTCGTAACTATCCCATTTAATGATAGACATATTTGCTTAGATGTATTTTACTACTTATCAAATTTCCAGAAGAATATATTATTATCACTCTTGGAGGAATATTAATTTAGCATCAATATTTTGGAAGAATATTTTATAATTGCAACGTATCACTATTCTACAAGAATATTTTTATATTGTTCATGCTGAAGCGCAATGTCACGCATATCAACATTTAAAACATAGTATTGTATCAATGCTCTAGAAAAAACATCATACTTTTGTCTATATTTCAAGTGTTATTGTTTTGTTGCTTTTTAAGAAGCGCGACTTAACAAGAATAATATGAAGAAAATTGTGCGGATGGTCATCATGCTATATAGGTCATAATTTGGGACTAAACATGCAATTTTCTCATTATTTTTCAATTACACTATTTTCAGTTCAAAAAATCCTATTAGAGCATGGAACCCATGACGTTTTAGAATGATTGAAAGTTGGCATTTCAAGAATTCCCATTTCAGTACCAAATCAAACTCTCCCATTCATGAATTATTCCAAAAGGAAAACAATCGGACTACATAAATATTCAAGAATAATATTATTTTGTTACTCATGAAAAAATTTTAAAATTTTGGACATATCAATATTTTAGAAGAATATCGCATTAATATCAAAAATTACCTTTATACAAGTCTAAGTCAGATAAATGTGTTAGCGCTCCTATATAAGCATAACCTACATATATTGTTGGAGTCAAACCCTGGTTCTCTCATTTGGTGCTCCCAGAATTGCTAATTGTTGAAACCATGTTTTTATGAAACACGCCTTTTTAAGTATTAAATGTCTTTTTTTGGATGGTAAACACATGTGGTGATATTGGCTTATGAGGTGGATCTAGAATGATTCTTTTGCTCCCTTGTGATGATTCATTTGGACGGTGGACTCTTTGATTTTTTCACTTGAATTCATTTGTCTGGCTCTTCGGATTCTTGAGAGAAAAGGGGAGATGTTGGGGTTTGATTTACTTTGTAATTTCTATTTAAAATCTATGATTTTAAGTATGGAGTGATAGCATAAACCTTGAATTGTGTAATATTCTGAGTGAATATTGTGTGAATTTGTGTGATTCCATTGTTGTTGGTTTTGGTTTTGTTCAAAGGGTTTTGTGAAGATTTCTGGGTAGATCTCTGAGTGCTATCCATGCATTTTTTGAAAGATAAGTGTTTTGTTTTCGTCTCCCTGAATATTTGTAATTTTGTTGCTATTTTGGGCTGTTATTAGTGTAACAGAGCATAATCCCCTTTTTTGGATGCTCAACAAGGGATGTAGGAGTTAGAAATGGTCATCGAATCTCAGGGGCTTCGGTCGAAATAATTCTTTGGTGTTCAACTTTAATTTTCTACAATTTATTTTTCAGTTTGATCGAATTATTCTTGTTCCTTGACACTTATATTGTATAATCTTGACTTTTTATTGGTATCAGAACACTGGATTGAGGAACAAGATACCAATTAGAGTACAGAACCCACGAAGTTTTAGAAAGATATAAAGTTGGCATTTCAAGAATTCCCATGTCAATACCAAATCAAACTCTCCCATTTGCTAAGATTGATTTCATGAATTATTCCAAAAGAAAAACAATCCAACTACATAAATATTCAAGAATAATATTATTTTGTTATTCATGAAAAAAATTTAAAATTTTGGACATATCAATATTTTAGAAGAATATTTCACTAGTGTCATACAAGTCTAAATCGGATAAATGTGTTACCGCTCCTATATAAGCATAACTTATATACATGTGCACACAATCAGCTCAACTACCATCCGATCTTGTTTGAGCTTTTGACCTTTGACACTTTTCGAGTCATTGCTCGATCTGAACTTTGAAAATATAGGATTTTCTCTTGCAAAATTACTCATGTATAAAATAATAATAATAATTATGAAGAATGCTGCAAGGTGTTTATTCATTCAATAATACCAAGATTTGTTAACTTAAGCTGTGTATCACTGGACGTGTAAAGAGTCCTGATTCAAAGCCACTATCCCAGACATAAAAGCAAAAAATGCGTTACTTTTTAAAAAATATTACCCTGCAAATTATTCCAATTTTGGATTTTGAATCCATAGTAGCAAATGATAATTGTTGAGGTTCAAAGGGGTATCATTGTTGAGACACATTAACACCACAGTTTCCGCAGTTACATTCACAAATTACATTGCAGATTACTATTGAATTTCTAATCCGTAGAAGCAAATTGATGGTAGGTGAAGTTCCATGTTGGAGTATCATCATTCAGAAATTTCGAGTCAGCAAAAGCTGAAGGTAAATGATTCAGATCCAATCAGGAAATCAAATGACTATTTAGGCAAATTCTAAATCTATGTTCATTGATTATAGCATACACATGAACAATGGACATCTAGCAAAGTTGATATAGGACAACTAGCTTAAAGTTTGAAGAAGTGTTAGACAGAAAATTAAAAAAGAAAAACCGCACCAGAGGCAATTTTGTCATTTGTCGCGACGGTGTCGGAATGGACTGAAATTTGGCTGGTTGATTGGAAACAGCTCGAGAAATTGGACTTGGGGCAGACCCAAGATCTCGGGATTTAAGCCAAATCCCTTCGTTTAGGCCTCGGAATAATTAATTTCCGTATTTCCCGTTTTGAATTTTCGCCATTTTTGGAATGTTTTATTTTTTCTATGTTTTAGGGTTTCTTGTAATGCCTATTTAATGGCTTTTGGAACGTTTTCCATGATCATTGAATAATATACAAGTTTCAATTTTGGAGAATTCCAATTTTCTTATTTTCAAGATTTACGTTGGTAAATCTTTTGTTTTTTCTTACTTCCGTTCTGTGTCAAAAGTTCCTAGGTGATTGAATTGAAGAATTTTTATTTTATTTTATTTTATTTTCCGGCTAATTCTTGTTCCAGTTTCCAATAGTGCCATCATTGAAGGCGTTTCCGGTCAGCAAACAAGATATTAGGCAGAAAGTTGGAGGTAGTTTACACGTTAAGATTTTTTACTGAATGCGGAAAATGCAAAAACTGGTTTTCGAAAATTATTTTATGATTTATGAAATGATAGGAATAAGATGCATAATGTGAGTAAAAATCTGTTGAATTTTGGAAAAAAATCTTGATAACGGAGGATTGGAAGGAGGGTTTGAGAGTACTGAACTTCAGTTGTCATTCATTGTGCTGCCGGCTTATTCAAGTGGATGAATTCGTTTGATATTCTGTCTAATACTAGTGGTGCCGTGCTGTTGAATTTTGCAAGAACTTTGATAATGCAATTTAATATCGAGCAAGTTATCTCTGTTAACTCTGCAATACAAATTTGAGCTTTTTTTTACTTTTTAGAATTGTTATGCTTAATATTATGAAAGAAAATAACTTGCAGCGAATATGAATAATCAAGAGAAGCAAACAGTCCAATTCTACACTGTTGAAGCTTTGATAATGAATTTTTTGAGCCTTTACACAAAGAAGACACTGAGATACTTGGTGCCTTTTACAAATTATTTGCCTATATGATTGGAGTCAGCCTCTGTCTTACATGCTTTTCGCTGAACTACAATGGATTTTGCTATTACCAGTCACT